AAACGTAGGCTTAAATCTGCGGAGAAACGCGCACGTGCACACAGTCCCCCGCCCCTCCGCCTTGACAGGCAGCAAGATGAGCCTCAGCAAGCTGAATAACGAGCTAATCATGAGTAGCCCAACAATAAATAGACCTTGTTCATAGTCCACTAATCCCAGTCATTTAGCCGGGGTGTTGCGGCAGAAATCAATTACAGCAGCTGGGCTCCCAGTACACGGCCGTCGAGCTGCACACAACACAGATACACTGACTAACCCATCACACAGTGAAATAATATTTATGTGCTACGTTTTACTGACAGAGATTATTAAAAAAAACAGAAGAGAAAAAACAGTAAGAACAAATATGACAGTATGACATTCCAGCTACTGCTATGTGGATGTTCTGATTTGGGTTAAGTTGATAAAGTGAGTATTAAGAGTTTTTTGTTTTTTATCTCTATATATTACGGGTGAAACAATGCAGTTCTGTATGTACTGTGGTATTGACATCATGGTTTGGTACATTTTTTGTACGAGAAGATATGAATTCACAAAAAAATAATTGAAGGACCATTGTTTCAACACTCAAACTAAGGCTTCTGCTACAAAACATTTAAACAAGGATGTTCCTTTGGCTAGTGTAATTTGAAATCCGTCCAACAGTTGACTGAAGTCTTTACCCAAAACAAAATGGCAGCAATGAACCAAAAATTGATCCATTTTCATTTCTAGGCCGTTATCTTTATCTTTTTCTCTCTGAACACTGATGATCTTAAACATTTTCCACTCTTGTGTTCACTGCCCCTGCTTTTCACCGCGACACACAAACACACACAGAGTACAAAGGAAGAGGAGTGATTCCTAGAAAACAATTTGCCATCTGTGCCTAATGGCATCTGAAGGCTGTCCTCCGACCTGCACCACAGGGAATTGGCCCGAGGACCAGCACTTTAATTACATACATGAAGACAGAGTGAGTTACAGAGAAGGAAAAAAAAACTGTTAAAAACCAAACAGTAAATAATCAGTTTAAAACTGTGTCTTTATATGGACCAGGCTACAGTGTTCGTCCACCTAGACGTTAGAAAGTGAAAACCTGAACATCCATCAGTCTGAATCATCTACAAGCCAACAAGGGGGGGCTGCACGTTTGTGTTCACTTCTGTGACCAGAAATGAAAGGACATTGAAAGTGCTTCTTTTGTGTGACCTTTTTTTTTTTTTTTTTTTTACAAAAGAGCCATAATGAAGTGCAGTCCCCAAAAAACAACACAAACAGAACAAAGTGATTGTAGCACAATCAATGTATGGCAGACAACTGGCAAATGTAAACAAAGGCGTCTTCTGCGTATAGCGCTGTGTAACAAACCTGAACATCCATCAGTCTGAATCATCAACAAGCCTTCACTGAAACACCCGTGATGTGGCGTGTCTTTGTATTCATCCACTCATCAACTAGTTCTCAGACCAAGCAGTTGGTGTACGTAAGAATAATGGAGACTTTTCTCATAAATTTATGGGAGATGGTGACCTAACAATGAAACCCTGTAGGTCGAGGACGTCATAAACCGAGGACCACCTGTATTTACAAACTACAATGTAAGGTCACGCTGTACACCCCCCTTTGCATGAGGGGCTGTTTTTTTAGTAATTGCCCTCATTGAAGGGTTTTGGCTGTTGAGAATTGAGTGTTTTGACGAGCTAAAGTCAGGGCCTGTATCAGATGTATGGTAAACAGTGCCTCTTGTGGTCACTGCAGAAACTGGCATTATTTATGTGGCTGGAAAACAGAACTGTTGTTAGAAATCGATTCTCACAGTCCGACAGTTTCATGTGAGCGTGAATAGTCTGTGTGAGAATGTACTGCAGTGAAAAGGAATCAAGCCAAATGAACACAGCTGCAATTTGAATGTGCCCTTTCCTAACTTCCTCTTTTCCTAACTTCCTCCTTTCCTCTCTCTTCATCCTTGCTATATCATGTCTATCTAGCGTTCTTCCCCTCATCCTCTCACACCCGTCCATCTTAGAAACACTCTCCCTCTAGTCTTCTATTTACCGTCCTTGCCAACTGCATGCAGAGGATGAGTGGAGAGACACCCAGAGGCGTTCTGCACTCCTTCTGAGCTCCTGTGTCTCTGTGATGTACCACAAATTAACCCCCGTGTCTAATTCACTAACGGTCCATTTGATTGGATGCCATGCGTGTGGAGATGGTGGGTGGTGGCCAACATCAGCCTATCCCAGAGCAGAAGTCCCCTCAGGCTATCAGCAAGCAGCATTGCCATGGTGATGTCATCATCAAGCTGTGAGTCTATCTCCATTCGACAAAGCTTACTGATTACAGGGAGTGTGTGTGTGTGTGTGTGTGTGTGTGGGGGGGGGGGTTAGAAAGGACTGAGGAAGAAGGAGAGCGAGGATGAATCAGGTGATTATGCTACGAGCCGTCGCTAACTAATGATGTTTAGTCTGATCAGACCCCTAATCAGCTGCTTTGCACAGTCTGTCAGAAATTAATGTGAAACGACTTCAGGTGTGTGAGCTAATGTTGTGTTTTATTCCTGGTGTGTTTTCATTACATTTACTGTATTGTAGACCAGAACAGGAAACTTTCTGGACACTACTGTCGAGATGGTAATGTGGAGGGAAGAGGATCAGGCGTTTTATCAGAGGAGCGCAGGTTCAAATCCCCACCCTGGCTGGCTGGGGTGTAATGAGCAGACACCAAATTCCGTCACTCCCCTGACACTTCTGAAACCCCCACAGCTCCGCAGGGATGGGTTAAATCCAGAGGACACATTTTGTTCTCTGTAAATGTGTCTTTATATGTCCAACGCCCATAAATCGGATACTACTCCTCATTCTCCTTGTTTTTATTATTAGTTCACAGAAAGTGCTTAAGGCCTGAAATCCTTAATTACCTTTATTTTAAAGATGACCTCGTCAAAGGATTAAAAGCATCTGGGGAATGGTGAAGCACCTCCAGGCCTTTTAATGCAAACAAAGTCAATTCTTTTGTGTCACAGCGATGTGTGAATGGAAGTGGTTGATACAAACGTGTCTGAGGTGAACACTGATGTCGGCTTCACTGTGACCCTGAAAGTGGTAAAGGAAGAACAAGGAAATAAATGATTCAGATGAACGATCAGCCGATACACCGTGACCTTTTGACAAAACAGTCATAATTAATATTCACACCACGAAGCTACTGTTACTGGTTGACACTACAAAAGTTCCAACCAGACTTTTTAACTTTTCATAATGTCAATCTCAGCTTTCAACACCTGATGTCACTATTGAGTAGTATATATATCTACCGCCATTATACTAAACCATATACAGGGGTCTTTGCTTGATGATGTCATTGTTATGTTGCCATCTCTCCTAAGTTTATTCATGTTTCTTTAGCGTTTTGCGCAGGTCAGCGTAGCTGACGGATAACTCTCCATGTGGCGCTGCACGCTGACGACGGCTTTGTTTACAATAGCCAGTAGTACAAACAGAAACACAACATTTTCTAAAATCCTGGGAAGAAGCTAAAACAATTAGTTTCAAAACATTGTTTTTTGCTTCAAAAATCCCCCAAAAAACTTGAGTTCATTTATTTCTTCCTCGTCAATGAATCCACAGACCAGTCACCAGCCAGAGCTTTTGACTTAAACACACAGTGAGTGGTTCTATTGTTCTGTTTAAAATGGATGTGGAGTGTCTCCTAAAGCAGGGAAGGCTCATCTGCTAATCTCTGGTGACTTGTTTCTGTCATTGCTTTGTCATCAGTTACCAGATGACACACATGTCAGAGTGTCCTGTGGGAGTGTGTGTGATGGATTTGTGTGTGTGTGGGGGGGTCTCTGTGTGTGTGTGTGTGCGCCCTGTGGGGTTGCAGAGGTTAAGGGGAGCTAATTTCACGGCTTTTTATTTGCACTGGTCTCAGGGGAGACACTCTCTGTGAGCATTATCACTTCCAGCTGGTTCAAAGAGGACAGACGGGACAGGGCAACAACAAACACACACACCTCAGGCACAGCGCTGCGTGTCCCGTGTGCTCTCGCTTTTGAACCAATTTATGTTGGTAATGCTCATAGAGCATGATCCTTGAAGTAACATGTGACACCAAGGGAGGTGTCTCTGGGACTTGAACATTGACCATGCCCTTGGACGTTCTGTTGTTTTCGTTGCTTCAGGTTTAGTGACACAAATACTTCAATATTTTAGGACAGGGTTTCACAAACTTCTCCACGCCAAGAACCCCCAGTCAGCATTAGCTGCTGTCTGGGGACCCAGGGGCAGTGGTGGCTTAGTGGTCAAGGAAGCAGACTTGGGTCTGGAAGGTTTCGGGTTTGTGTCCACCAGCTGCCTCTGAGCAAGGCACCGTCCCCACACACTGCTCCCTGGGCGCTTAATGCTGCAGAATTCATATTTATCACTAAACCATGGTGCCGTGGCACCTCAGTACCTCAGGTGTACCACGGAAGATAATACTGAGTGGTTCTGAAAATGTATTTATTTACTGCAAATAATGTATCTTTTTTTTTGCTAAAGTGACAGTGAGAAATATTAAATACTCCACTAGGTGGCAGCAGATGCCTATAAAATTAAAAAAAAAGAGCAGCAGAGCTATTGAAGATCTTTTTTGTGTCTTTCTTTAATTCCTGTGAGTATATCAGAGTTGTGTTCAACTAAACCGGCCCAGGTTTCTTCACTCAATAAGTAAATCCTGAGCAAATTGAAAGTAGAAGATTCTAATATTTTGTTAAATAGACATTTTGTGACATTTTCTTTGGAGGAACACCTTGGGAATTTTGTAATTTACAATATTTTGCCGAGGCTCAAAAAGTGTTGGGAATAACTGAGCTGAATTATTGCTCTGATACAAACTTTGTCTTTAAATACATTTCAGTCTTGACTGGTTTATGTTTGAACACCAGGACCAGGGTATGACTGTTTTCAGTGAGTGTTCTGATTGAGTACCAAGCCTTTCTGAAGAAACACTTATCTGTTTAATTCGTCATGTCCCCGCAGGTCCACCAGCGGTCAGCAGAGCGTCTCCTAGATTTGTGCTGTGCCAACCGTGGCACTTTTATCAAGGTTGGTCAGCACCTCGGTGCCTTGGATTACCTACTGCCCAAGGAGTACACGTCTACTCTTAAAGTGCTTCATAGCAGAGCTCCTGAGAGCAGCACGGAAGAAATCCAGCAGGTCCTCAGAGAAGACCTTGGCAAGGAGGTAAGCCAGTGCAGCCTACAGGCTACACATCACTGTTTTATAAAGATTGGTGTGGCCTTACTTGTGGCAAATGTCTAGAAACACTTGGCCATAAAACAAAACAACTGCTAAAACACAAACAACATGAACTTCATGTTTATTATAGAACTTATTATTAAAAAAAGGTGGCAAGAGTGGCACAGTGACAAACAATCAGAAAGTGTAACTACACAAATATATATATATATGTGTGTGTGTGTGTGTTGTACCTGTTTTTCTTGTTCTTGGTGTTGTGAGGTGTAAATATAGTACAGGTGGCTAAGTCTGACATTTTGTCCTTTTTATTTCATAACCAGCCTGGTGCTGCTGTTAATGCCTGTTAGAACAGAGTGTAACTCATGTTCTGAAAGTGGTTGTTATGAAAGGCCTGCGTAAAATGCTGGTTGCAAGGCAATTGTTTTGTTTTTCTTGGACACAGCAGACTGGTCCTACTGTGAGTGACAGTCACATGTTAAGACGAAAAATAAAAGGGAAGGCTACAACGGCTGTTTTTGCTGAAGGTCGGTGTCATTTAGTTTTGTGTTAAATTCTGTAAAATTACAAATGCAGCTGTTTATTTTCAATACATATAAATCTATCTCTCTGTGTAAATCTATGGGGAACATTGTACTATATGAAATGCAAAACTTTTTACTCTTTTATGTTCAAGTGAAAATAATCAAAAATCGAATGTTCACCTTAACAGCGACCTTGTCCTGGTCTCCTGTTGTCTCCAACCTCTTTAGGTTTGTGGCTCCATTTTGACATCCCAAATTTCTGCTGACCTCTGAGGCATCTCAGCTGTCACTTGTGCAGTCATGTGATCGCAGCTGTCAATCAAGATGGACCAGCTCAGATCATTATCATAATTTTTAAAAGAATAATAATTAGTTGAAAAATACTTTATCATTCATTTTTTTATCAATTACTAGACATTTCAAACGACCCCATTTGATTTCTAGGCGACCCGGGGTTTTTTTTAATCCCAAAAAGCATAAAGGAAGTCAGTGGTACGGAGATGTATCAGCGACTGTAAAACAAACTCACTGCACTAAAGCTTTATTCATTTCCCCCATTTCCCATCTAATCTCATTCTATTAATTAAGGTGTATATTCAGTTTGTCGTCTTCCTGTATCTGTGTGGGATCCTGCTGATGAATAGGCCAGCCAACTGAATCGCTCCTCGTCTGCTTTGGAAAGGCAGCAGGAGAAGTAACGCTGATGAGTGCCAGGCAGCTCAGGAGTTTGGAAAGCCTCACTGTTGCTTTTGTCTGACTACACATGCATTTTACCCAACACATGTATCCATTGCAACGTGCTTTGGATCCTATCATCCAAGTAGTGAGGAGATGAAAACAGCCTGTGGTGTAGTTTTCTCCTACATTTGCAGTGACACGTGAACTCTCACTGAGCATGAGTTTGGAAGACTTGCTGCAGCCCTGGCAGTCCTTGTTCCCCAGCAGAGTAAAATGAAAATGCCAACAAGTGGTACACGTTTCTACTTAACGGGATCTGCAATAGAATTAAATGATAACACTTTACTGCTGACAAGAGATCAGAGAGGAAACAAAGGAGCACCATCAACCACTGCTGGTTGACGACACTCTCCTACTGTGATCCTTGGTTTGTCCTGAAAGTGTATTCAATACCGTTGAGCAACATGGACTATTGAAAGAATTGTAATTTAAATAAACCTCAATTATTGTTGGGGTTAATGTATTAAAGCGCTAACACTGTTGTGCCTTACCTTGTTCTGCCCTAATACGTGATATTAAGACGGAACCTTCTTTGTCAGAAACATAAATTATATTGGACAATCAAACACAGGGGATCCTCATCGATGTGCACGTACAGTACATCAGTATTTCTGTCACTCACCTACGCTAACACAGTGGTGACATCATAATCGGAGACATAAAAACATCAGAAGAGTCTGACTGACACCTGTGAGCCAGAATGAAGGACCAAAGGTTCACAAAAAACAGGCATAAATAAATGAGAGAAAATGAATGTTGCACAATCTATTGTAGGTTGTAGGGCAGATGAATGTAAACAAAGACGTCTTCCGTGTATAACGCTGAGTGACAACACATTTTTAAGATTAAACATGTTGTTTATAATACATTTATGGAAGATGGCAACGTAACCACGAAGCACGAACGGTTGAGGATGTCGTAAACCAAGGACCTCCCCGCACACAAATTAAAATGTAATGCTAATATTCATTTTAGAAAACATTCTTATATAATAATAAGTACTTGAGGATAAATGGCACTGTTTGAGAATTTTTAATGTGTGCACTTGTATAGTTTTCTCCAGTCAACAGTTGGTCAGGGACATCAGGGACATCAGGGATCCTTGGGTTCAGTTTCCTCTCATCATCAAAATAATGTCTGTCATTGACTCTCATCTGTGCTGTTATAATTTCTGTCTTTCCATCCAGCTGCTGCTGCTGCTGCTGCTGCTGCTGCTGGTGGTGCTGCTGCTGGTTGACAAAATGGCCACCTTTCTGTGGACAATGATATTTTATCATCCAACTGCGATGCTTCAGGGGCCGCTTTAGTCGTGCCATAACTCATTTCAGGAAACGTGTGCCACTGCTGGTCTCCCCTGTGGGACCGGGGCCCTACGCACACATTAGCATGTTTATTAACTGCACAGCTGACATTAACATAAGCAGTGACTTGGCAGTGGGCTTGAACCTGAGGCTAGAAGCTGGGCACTGTTGACATAACTATATCTAAAAACACTTTGTGTCAAACGGTTCGCCTGTAAATGATAATAGTACAAGGTGTAAATGGTCCAAATATCAGGAGGACAGCTCATGTTATTGCTGCAGCGTATTAAGGTGGAAGTCCCATCTGAAAAAGATTACATGTTTCCTTAACCTATAAAGACAGCCTCTGAATGCACAACCCTCAGGTTGTAATTGTCATAGTGAGACACCAGTGGGTGCAGGCAATTCATTTCATTTGGCAAATTTGCATAATGAATAACTCAGCTGTTCCCACACAGGATACTGTGCCACTTACATCATGTTTTACCTGATGGCATCTTCTAGAGGGCTTGACTTCGCTCTTTTTTTTTTGTTAAGTTGTTGGTTCAACATCATGTTCAAATTAGCTGCTTTTTATGTTATTACTAGATTGGACAACGACAGGACAATTCCCTTCAGCGTCAGTATAATTCAAATTAAAAGATAAGGTTTAAACAAGTGCAGCTCATCGGTGGTACGGGGGTCCTGCACTCTCCTCGGGGGACTCTGGATCCTAGTGGTGACTTAGCTCAAATTTCCGTATTGGCACTTACACACAATATGTAGGATGCCCAGCATGCATCAGAACAACCCCATTGATTGTGGGGTTTTAAGTAGGACTATAGCTGAGAAGCTGTTTGTCAACTGGCAGCTCGTGGGCTGAATCCCGCCCACCAAACAGTCCTATCCAGCCCACAACTGGATTCCAAAATAGTGAGGATAAAAGAGAAAATGTTGTGTGGTGCACACTATTAAAGCAACTGAAACAACAACAACTGAGACTTGAATAACTATCAGTAATCCCCACACGCTATGAAAAGAAAAAAAAATTATTTCATTTCATCTTATTTTTTTTCTATGGTAGATGACGATCTACCTACTCTGCTCCTTTAAGGTAGCCTAATCAGAGAAGAGTAAAGGTTCAGTAAAGTGTTAACGCTAAAGCCAAAACATGTCTCTTGAATAACTGCTACACAAATAAAACAGATTCGATTCGTTTTATGGCATCGACATCCTTTTTTGGAGTGGACGTGTTAGTATCCATGAGCCCTGCAGCCTCAGGCTGCTGTGGAGCTTTCTGAGGCTACAATAAGTATCTTGTAATGACTCCTGGTCTCTGGGGAAGCCTCTTTAACCTTGAGTCCCACACACTAATTAATGTGTGTGTGTTCTGTGCCCATAGAGCTAAGTAGCAGCTGATAAAGTGCCGTCGATGTTTAAAGGGCAAACAAAGAGATGGAGAAACAAAGGAAACCTCATGGAAATGAAGTCAAAAGAACAACAAGAGTAACTAAATATCTCCCTGCCCATCAGAAACCTGACCTTTACCTGCTGTATCACATTTCTTTGAAGAAGTCTTCCCAAAAAATATAAGAGAAATACACAAATGTCTGTTTATGATGGCAATTAGAATAAGGCATATTTTTGGGAATATACCTTATTCTGCAGACTATGAAAAATACCTGTCTGTATTTAATTTACATTAAAAAAAGCTAAAACTGTAGTTGTGGACATCAGTTGAATACCTCTTATACATTTTGGTCTGATATTATATAAACAAAACCCCATCTTTATATTATAATATCACCAGGTTTTGTGTACCTGTTTTACCTTTAAAGCAACGTCCTATGACTTCAACATGGAGCTAATGAAATCTTCTCTTTGGCCCAGCCCTGTTACTAATGTCCAATGTGGCTCATAGAGCTGTTACCAACTACTCACTATAGTGTAATTTAAACCATATTGAACCTTTCAAAATAAAGGAATCATCATGACACCTTTATTTCAACATGATGTGACCACTGTAACTCCCCCTTTATTGATCTGTATTCTAACATATCTCTATGTTATTACAGCAGCCAGATTTCTTACAGGATCATATTACATTGGTTTTTCTTGTTTTTGGTGGACTCTCTCTGCAGTACTTTTTAATCCACACTACCTAAAAATGTGATTGACATATTCCCAGACATGGTCTTCACGTTGTGTCACTTCTGTCTGGTGTCAGCACAGGTATGATTAAACCATTACCAGCCTTTATTTGGTCTTTTGACGTATCAATCTTTGAAACCACCGCCAGCCTCTCTGTCTATCACCAAAATTGCTGTTCTTCGCTGCTTCCTACTATAATTGCATTTAAAGATGAAGCCGAGCTGCAAAAGTGTGGGAAACAAAGAAGAGACATCGGCTCTAATGACTCACCTTTTTCACTTCCATTTATTGGTTAATGTTGTTTACTGTTGTCATGTTTCTGCACTGCTGTTGACAACTTCTTACACAACAACTGTTCTTTTTAAAATTTTACCTACAACTCTGAGAGCTATGTGAGTTGGTGTGTCAAGGACACCAAGTTCAAATTTTTAGTTTTACTTTAAGAACAAATGCTAGCAAATCACCAGGTCTACAGAGACGATGGCATCAGTTTACATGGTCACCGGTTCAGGAGAAGTGGTGAGACAAGTGTTTCTATTTTCCAATTTTTTGAGGCTACATAGCGCCCCCTGGTGGCCCACCTTAAAAACCACTGGGTTGTTTTTGTCCTTATCAAAACCTAATTAGTGAAATAATAATCTCCTCTTGAATATTTAATCTACTGCTCTTGTAAAATCCCAGCAGATCAGATTGATGATTACCCTCCCCCTGCCCTCCCATGCTCCTTTTACTTCAGTTTTTTTTTCAATCTTTATCTATTTCTCATTTATTCTCTTTTCCTGCTCTCTTTTCTCTCCGTCCCTATCTCTGTCTTTCAGCTGTCAGAGTTATTTGTCTCCTTTGAGGACAAGCCTCAGGGTACAGCCTCTTTAGCCCAGGTCCATAAGGCTGTACTTCATGATGGGAGGACAGTGGCCGTCAAGATTCAACACCCTAAAGTCCAGGGACAAAGCTCCAAGGACATAGTTGTGATAGAGGTGAGCGTGTTTCCTACTAAGCTTCTGTAAAAACTGTGACTGACTGTGACTGAGAGGCCTCCGACCCACTGCAGCTAAAGCTTTTTAGCTTTCATTCGAAGTATTTACCGGGTCAATATAGGCCCAGTAGATGGCAGTGTTGACACCCACGACAGTCAGGTCTGCCAGTAAAATCCAAAGAAAAAATGACTGTAGCTGGGTTAGCCTAGCTTAGCCTAGCCTTAGCGGTAACTAATGTCAAATCTCCAAAAAAAATAAATCTCAAAATATAATCTGTTCAACTATATTGGAAAAAATAAATCAAATAATAAAAATAAAATGTCATTAGAAAATCCTGAATTTTTAGTAGAGCTGTTAAATGATTAAAAATATTTAATCTGATAAATCACAGGGTATTTGTGGATTAATCACGACTAACCATGATTGGTTGAGACAAATCAACATTCTGATGTTTCAGATTTAGACATCTATCTTTTTGATTCTGACGATTTTCATTTCAAAGGTACTGGCCAAGGCAGTTCATTGGCTGTTCCCGGACTTTGGCTTCATGTGGTTGGTGGAAGAAGCCAAGAAGAACATGCCTCTGGAGCTGGACTTTCTCAATGAGGGCCACAATGCAGAGAAGGTGGCCAACATGCTGGCTCACCACTCCTTCCTCAAGGTGAAAACACGAAGGATGTGGCATCTCTCTGCTTGGCTTTGTCTTATAAAACAATCTCATGCAGTCCATAGGTATATATTTACTCTAATCCACACAGAGTACGCAAAACAACAGAAGTATTATACTTATTTAGACACACAGAGACCCCCCCCCTCCCTCCACCACCACATCATTATTACCTGTGCTTTTTAAAAAGGCTGAGAATTTTCTGAGCTCAGCTGAATGTAAATTAGCTGTACTTTTTCCTCTGAATGTAAATTAGCTGTACTTATTCCATACTTATTCTCAGCTGAATGTAAATTAGCTGTACTTATTCCTATTTATTCACACACACATATATATACATATATATATATACACATATTCAGTATATATGTATTTAGTACGCTTATATAGTAGCTTGTATTTTTATATATTAATATAGAATAAAAACATAACCCCCAACAATGTATGAAAGAGAAAAAATACTGATCATTCAACAGTTAAATCAAACAAGAAGAAAGTCATTTCCATCAAATGTTGTGGTGAGTGTTTGTGTATGTTTTCAAAAATCTCCCTGTCCCCTACTCAAGGTTCCCAAGATCCACTGGGATCTGTCCACAAAGAGGATTCTGACGATGGAGTTTGTTGAGGGTGGACAGGTCAATGACCTGGACTACATGAAGAACCATGACATCAATGTTAATGAGGTACGGTGTTTTTCTCAGGCTGCGTCCACTGAGACCACACGTATGAACAGAGGCTGCACCAACTAATAGATTATTGATTTAAACCTCACCCTCCCACACACCAGCACACTCACACACACCGACACACACCAGCACACTCATACACCACTCTTTCTCTCTGTATTGCGCAGCCCTTTAAGCTACCCCAGGCATGGGCAAACTATGGCCCGAGGGCCAGATATGGCCCATTTGGCTTTGTAATCCGGCCCACCAAACTCGTCGAAATTATCATTATACTTCTGTCTTTTCTCTGCAATACCTGTGTTTCCCCAATAGGTTAGACTTTATGCATGACTTGTGCATGTCATTTATCTTAGCATCCATCCATCTGCTCCTGACCCCCCCCCCCCGTCCAATTTTAGGATCTGCTAAATGTCACCAGGACACAACAGTGTAAAGATGATGTATTGCTGTAGCAGTGTCAGCGCACATTCCCACACACAGACACTGGGTGGTGCTGATTCTTTGGTGGAGTCTTGATGTACTGCCACTAATACAGAGCATGTCTCTGAGGTACGCAGTTTAAACAAGTGTCAGTCAAAGCACAAAGAAAGAAGTAGCGTGAATGTCCCGATGTGATGGACAGTTCGGTGACAGACAGCCACTGGTTCATTAATTTCATTTTATTTCACCATCCAACTCTAATCCACGTCTAACATCAATGCTGCTGTTTTAACAAAGGAACGGATGAAAAATCCCCACAGCCCAGCCCACCATTGTCAGTGCTCACCTACAATAGTCCCTCGTTCAAACATTTTTCAATCAACCCTACACTAATAAACTCTCTAACGACTCTACAAATCAGTCTTTATAAAAAAAAAAAACAATGTATGCAATATAAACATTGATATTGTTATATTTATAAAAAAAAAAAAAAACAATGTATGGAATATAAACATTTATATTGTTATATTTATAATTTTTTTTTCTGACTGGAAAGTTCAGGTGGTATGCAGGATAAAAATGCCAAACAAAATTATATGTAATACAGTCCAACAAATGTATCCAAAATACATTGGTTAACAAATTAAACTTAGAAAGACTACTGTATTTTCTGGACTATAAGTCGCACTTTAATCCATCCTTTGGCTGGGGTTTGTGACTTATATATTAAAATATATAATTTCACACTGACAGCCGCTAGGGGGCACTGGTGCGACTTATACTGTATACGGAGTGACTTAGAGTCCAGAAAATGTGGTACTGGTTCTGTTGGTACCTTTATAATACACAAAAGCATTACTGTATAACCAAATGTACCGTCTTCTCTATGTAACAGCCTAAGGTGAAAAATCTGAGAACCTGAGGGTTTTTTTTTATTATTATTAAAAGTTCATAAGTCTTTTCAAAAATGCCCTCGAAATGAGAATAAAAAAAGAACAAAAGTTCCTTTGTTGCAAAGACAGAGATTAGAGATTGGTTCTCAAATGAAGTAAGATACAAGCCACAGGATTCATACCTGTGTTTCTTTGCATGTATAAAGTGTAAAATACTTATGTACAATATAATTGTTTTAATGTTATTAATATGTATGTTAGTATGTTATGACTACTGAGGACCTGTGGAAGGTCATGAAATTGCTCGGTATACTACATTTCACAGACAGGTTATAAACGTGTACTGCTCTGGTGTCTAGTTGCTCTAGTTGCTCTAGTTGCTCTAGCTGCTCTAGTTGCTGTTTGGTGTGTCAGAGACAAAGAGAACATAGAAACCCAGCAGAACAGCAGTATATTAGTTCATCTGTCCCTGTTCCTTTTTGCTTTACGGTTTTAAACTGGGGATTGTGTCACAGGGAGTGTGTGTTCTTCACTTTGTCTCCAGTGACAAACTGATGAGCCCTAATTAATGGTCATTAGTGTCTGCTGTGCGTTTGTGAGATAATTCACTGGCTCTCTGGTGTGTGTGTGTGTGTGTGTGTGTTATTTCCTCTCTACTGTTTTACACTGGTTTACAGACCATGTCAGCAGCTCTGCCTTTTACCTCCAACAGAACTGACCATGACTTTCTTTAAAGGACGACAGGATCAGCTGTAAAAACGATCCAAACTGACAGGATGTGTGGATGATGTGATCAACAAGTTTCTTTAAATGATGCTCAATGATTTCCTGTGTAAATGTGATCCTTTAGAAATGATCAGATTGAACAGGTTTTGGTGCTAAAATGTATTTTGTCTCATGTTTTTTTAAAGCCCACATTGGTTTAGAGTAGGGGTCTCAGACTCAGATGAGGTGACGTCACTGCTGCCACCGTCATTTCATTAAAATACAAAAAAGATATTTTAGAAAAAGTTATTTTTTTAACAACATTGCAAAACTGAAATATTATTGAGATTTAATCACAGGCCAGATGTGGAGAATTAGAGGCTCGACAAGGGCCCCAGGCCAGGAGTTTGAAACCCCTGATAGAGAGCGTAACTTTCTAAAATGTATAAATATATATATATATGCACACACACACACACACACACATGTATATGTATATATATATATAATAAATAATAAGTAAATAATAGAAAATATATTTAATATTTTGTTAAAATATATTTATTTTAATAGAATAAGATACATATTTTTAATAACAAATACACACACCTCAAATACACACACCTCAAGAAAAAATAAATATGATAATACATTGAATAATAATCACGAAAAAATAAATATGATAATACATTGAAGATAGAGAATAATAATCACATTAAAAAAAGATTAAAAAACAAATGTACAAAATTCAGAAATAAATAAAACAATCAATCGAATAGAAAAAAAATGCAAATTGTTTTATTTATTTTTATAGAAATCAAACAAAACCAAATGCATGTTGAAAATGACTGGGATTTCCTCATTTTTGACATTGTTTCTTTTTGTATCAACATTTCCTTCTTTTTTGAATGTTTTTTCTTTTCCATTGTTTACACAATAGATCTCTGAAAGTCTGGGCAAGATGTACAGTGAGATGATCTTCGTCCATGGCTTCGTTCACTGTGATCCACATCCGGGCAACGTGTTGGTCAGAAAGTGTCCCCGGAGCAGGAGGACAGAAATCTTCCTGCTGGATCACGGCCTGTACCAGGTGAGAGATCTGCAGTCTGCCCAGCCATAGGAAACATCATTTGTTCTAACTGCAGCCAGTGTTTCATGCTGCCGCTGGAGGCCTTGAGAATATAGTTGGCAAACAAACAGCCCAAAACCAGCTAGGAACTATGGACAACACACACACACACACACACACACACTGTGAGAGACAGAGACACATTTTCATTAGTGCTACAGCAGGATAAAAGCTTTTTGATAAACAGCTCATCTGATGTTGTTTTTACCAAAGTGCAGGGGCTGCTCTGTTTGGGCTGCTCCACCTCAGCCTTATTATTAAGGCCCATACTGTATGTGCACTTCTGCTGTGTAGATGAACACACTTGGTCCCAGAACACCCACGTTCTGCATGGTCTTGATGATTGCTCTCTGCTATATTCACGGTGTTAAATTAAACATATGCCTTGGTCTCACACACACACACACACACACACACACACACCTGCACATGAGCACCATTTTAAGAATGATGATTTATTCAAACTGCACCTTTAAACTCCTGACAGTCAGGCCTAAAGACTGTACAGTAGAATAAAAGCAGGTGAGGTGATGCCTACAGTAGCCTTGACTGTACTGTGTACTGTATGTAGCAGGGTTTTGGAGGAAGTATATGGAGGGGTTTTACTCCTAAGTACTTCAAACCTCTGCTGTAATTTGGATTTAAATCAATCGTACACATACTCACACAGTCGTCACCTCCAGGTTTATTACCTCCAGAACATTCAACATTTTTCTCCACCAGGTTATTGAAATAGGAATGACCAACAACATGTTTGGTGGATCACTGCTCTAACATTACAGCAGGGCTTCTTTTTTGGTCGTTTTCTACAAATTACATTTCAAATGTATTGAACTAACATCAATACGTCAAATTACACACACAGTTCAAAAAGAGCAAATAAAAGTGCAGTTGTGCCATCATCACAGGAACCTTGAAAATGGCCTCCTTTTTGTTGTGGCCCAACTGTTCCCTGTCTCTGTTCCCCACCAGTGGGGCCCGCCCCTCACTTTGAGAAGCACTGCAGTACAGTGTCCCTAAAAGCATCATAAACATTTCTGAATCTGAATCGTAGTAGAGACAATGATTATTCTTGGTTTTAAATGTTGAACTGAGAGCAGAACCGTCTAAATACTGTGAGGTCAAATAATAGAGTTGATAAAGACGTTTGTCTGGAGTGCAGTTAGCTGTAGAATCCATTTTGTATGGAAACGGTGGTCCTCACATCCTGCTCAGTGTTTTCTGGTATTTTACATGACCTAAATCAGGGGTCACCAACTTTAATTGTCGGGCCAGACATTTTGTAGACCGACACTGAAATAAATATAAAAAACCCAGTCGCTGGACACATTGAACAGTTTAGTGGGCAAGATATGACCCGTGAGCCGCCAGTTGAACACATTGAACAGTTTAGTGGGCAAGATTTGACCCGTGATCACTGCCCTAAATGTGTGTACCAACTCTGTGGCTTTGTGGTGTCGTACCCTCCAGAACCTGCAGCCAGATTTCAGGCTGGACTACTGTCGACTTTGGAACGCTCTCATCAGCAGGGACATGGCCAAGGTGGAGCGGTACAGTCGCAAACTGGGAGCAGGAGATTTGTACCCGCTGTTTGCCTGCGTACTCACTGCCCGCTCCTGGACTGCAGTGAACGCTGGCATCAGTGCCGTGCCCGTCACACTCTCTGAGGTACCTGTCACACACACACACACACACACACACAGTGGGTTTGACAACGACCATTTCCTCCATTTGTGTAACACTTTGCTATACGCTATGAAATGTATTGCAGTAGTGTGTGTAGTTTGTACAGAACATAAATGAACCTTCATGTGTAAAAGTGTAAAAAAAACTTAATTTTAACATTGCCAATAACTGTGGGATTTAATGGATACACGGCCTGACCTCATCACACTGTAGTGACCCCAGTATTAATTACTGTCACTAGTTTTCAGTGATACTGTACCGCTAGGCTACTGCTAGCATAAGGTTGCCCAGAAACTTAACAGTGATCTGAATTTGGTTGGTAAAAATTTTCATCAGCATAAAAATCCACCAGATTAAACAACCTCCTCTTAGGGGTTCCACAGTGCCATCTGTCCCCAAGCCTGGCTCTGTTTATACCTCACTTATCCAACATTTTGAAGCTGGCCAAACAACTCCACAAGGGTGCGCTGCTGACTTTGACAGTTACCTCCCCCGACTGTGCTGTTTAGTTTTGGCAAATGTAGGCAGATGCCTGCGTGTGGCTAAAAATAACATTTTCAATTTAAGTAAATGGATGTAGTGGATTTGGCCGGAATACAAATCCTAGCATCTGATCTGATTCCACTTCCTCGTTATGTGTCCATACTGCTGATCAACAGCGTACTAAAAAAAAAAACGTAAAAAGACAACGGGAATAATCACTAAAATATTAGTTGCTAAAGTTTATGCTAATGCTAACCAGTAAAAATGTAAACGATTTTACAGGTAATCTTTTAATGACGTATTTCCTTACTTGACTTTTCTTTTGATGTTGTGATGAGCAGGAGGAAAACTGGGAATTTGATTTTATAAGTATCTAAGTATAAATATTACTACAGTAGTTGTACCATTAAACCACAACAGAAAAACTTTACCCCTGTTGAGTATCTTAATTCTTTGTCTGTATAGTGACACAGTACATGAGTGAGGGAGAGGGAGAGGGAGGGTGAGAGAGGGAGAGAGAGAGAGGGAGAGGGAGAGAGAGTCACTGACTTTGCTCCAGTTTTTTTCTCCCTCATTTTCTGTTGTTAGCGATTTTTCACCTGTGGCATTGAATCGTACTAATGTTTGACTCCTTCTGTCGACTGTTAGCGATTTTTCACCTGTGGCATTGGATCGTACTAATGTTTGACTCCTTCTGTGGACCAACAGTAGGTGACTACAGTAGGTGACAACAGTAGGTGAAAACAGTAGGTGACTACAGTAGGTGACTACAGTAGGTGACAACAGTAGGTGAAAACAGTAGGTGACTACAGTAGGTGACTACAGTAGGTGACAACAGTAGGTGAAAACAGACTTTGCACAACATGTTTTAAAAACAGAGACACTAAACTTTGCACAACATGTTTTAAAAACAGTGACACTATCTCAGCAGCAGCAGCAGCAGCAGCAGCAGCAGCAGCAGCAGCCCACAGGAGGCTGGAGGATTGATATTGGTTTAAGCAGATACTCCAGGTTGCAGTACCAGTACTGGACACAAAGAAGTTGTATCCAGCCAGGTTTGTGGCCTGACAGCAGACTGGGAGAGGGAGGAAAGTACAGGAGAAATTAGGTTAAACAAAAAGCTTAAATTGTGCATTTACTATGTCCTGAGTGATGTATTATCATAAAATATACCACTTTCTTTCTCTCTTCCACTTAAGGCTTTTCCATCAGTGCTGTCTCTCTGTCTCCCCCACTCTGTCCTCCTGTCTTACACACAGACCCACAGCAGACGGAGCCCTCTCCAGTGCCCTGTGTCTAAACACACTTGTTGAGTGCGATTGCGGTTGAAAAGCATTCTGGGATGTTGTGTGTAGCCCCCGTCCTCTTTGTCCCCCTGCCGATCACTCCCGTCCTTTCTCCGTCACTTCAATATATTGCTTCTTTTCATCACGTCCTCTCAATCCACTTAATGCATGGATCATTTTTAACTCTTGCTTTTAACGACTAAGGAGGCATTCCATTAGTGTTAATGCAGTCATGTGCAGCAGACGTTGAGTGCTTTTAAAGCTCTGGCCTGTTTTTTTTCTGCCTTTCTTCCATACGCAGGCATAGTGGTTTTTAATTTGTGTTTCTCCAAAAAGTTATTGGTCCAAAATTAATGTTCAATTAATTAATTTTTTCAGGGACGGAAAGTGAAGCAAAAAAACAAACAAACAAACAACAAAATGCTGGGATGGATGGATGTGAGAACTGAACTACATCCAGATAAAAGACATGTAAAACATTTGTTAAATGGTGTCGTCAGGTTTACAGCATTTACAGCTTCACACACACATGTTTATACGGGGGCCTCGACTTCTGTTCTGTTTCTATGGCACGATGTAACTTGATTGTCGTAAAAACGTAAAGGCAGATGCCTTTCCTACGCTCACACAGTGGTGACATCATAGTCCAGAACGTAAAAACATCAGGAGAGTCTGACTGACACCTGGGAGTCAGAACGAAGGGCAAAAAGTTACCAAAAAAAAACAACACAAACGAAGGAAAGTGAACGTAGCACAATCCAATATATGAATATATATATATATTCATAATATATATATATATGAATGTAAACAAAGTCGTCTACCACGTAAATATATATATATATGAATGTAAAGAAAGTCGTCTACCACGTGTAGCGCTGCATGGCGATGTATTCGTTCGCTCTGGCCACCGATCTCACAAAGGAACGGAAATGTGCGAAGTGTGTTTTAACATCGTACAGAACTGCTGTCCTGACAAGTACCAGCTGAAGAAAATGCTCTTTTTCATGCAGTTTTTTTTCTAACCTTATTACTGAGCACAGAGTGATAAGTGCATTTTGCAGAATAATTTTCCACGCTGACCTTCTTACGTGATTGTTAAACTAACAACAGCCTGGAGACTGGGAGACTGACGACTTCTCCTGCACAACAGTCTTCTGTTAACCAAAAATAACAATTTGGTGCAACTTAAAGTAATGTGATTTCCCCCCTGAACCCAATTTGTGCGATATGAAAATTGCTTGTTTGTTGCTATGTTTTTAAGTCATGTTTCTCCTGTTAGCTTGTTACCGTCATAAATTGCTTTTAAAGTTCTGTATTTTTCCCAGACAGTTGTTGTCTAAACTGCTTCTTTGATACAGCAGAAAACCAAACAGCAGTAAATGTGAGGTTGGGGTCTTCTGCTAGACTTAATGGCACCTGACGTCATTTTAATAATGCCTGTCCGTAGTGCACTGCAATTTCGGTAACTTTCAGTTGGCAGCGTTTGATGGAGCCTGTATTATACTGTATTAGAGACACCAGTGTCCGAGTTCACTGAGTGCAGCTGCATTTCCTTCTCAAAATGGCTGTTGCAGCAGATCTTCCAGTAGATGCTGGTCTTCCTGCTCCTCTCCGCCCATGTCTGCCTACTCCTCTGATGTCTGCTGAGTAAAACCCTTCTTTGCCACCCCCCCTGTGGAGAGAAAAAAAAAAAAAAAAAAGACCGGCACGGATGCCACCTCCCCACCCAGCCCCAGCCCCAGCCCCGTCCCCCGTCCCCCTTCCCTCCCCCCTTCCTCCGACTGCATTTGCATTGCCTTTTGCGCAGCCTATTATCGCATCACTCGCAATACAATATGTCCTTATTGAAGCTTTCAGATGCAAATGAAAGCACTGTCGCCTTCTCTGTATCCTACTGACAGCTGTGACGCCTGCTAACCAACCTCCCATAATTGCTGCTAATTGTTATTCCCTGAGCAGGACTCGGCAGAGCACTTCAGAACAGCCCCCTGTTATTTGGACAGGAGGGGGTAGGAACGGGAGTTTATGAAGAAATATTATGTTGTGTGTTCACGTCTTGGCGTCTCCGCAGCAGCAGCAGCTTTAAATGCACAGAAAGTCAGAGGTGCGGAGGTGCACGCTGTACGCAGACACATTTTTACCCCTCAGTATTTCAATAAGTGCATTTGAATGTTGGTTTTCTTCAGCCTGAGACCCATCTGTTCTGAGTGTCGGGTTAATCCTCCACATCAGTGTTGTTACAGTAGTTCATATTACTTCCTGTAGGCAGGAGACAAAACGGAGGGACAGAGAGCAGAGACAGAGTTTAGCTGTGTCACCATGTTGACTTGCTGTCTGTCTCTGTCTGTGCTCGTCAAATCTCAGCTTATGTGTGCTGACAGCTTTGACAATGCTGCCAGCACACACACACACACACACACACACTCACACACAGACTTGTTCTGCTATTCTTTCTAGGACTTTGTATCAACTCCAGTTCGTTTGAACAGCCTCACCACAGCTTGTTAAAGTCAGTCTTCATCCTTAATTTAACCACAGACTGAGAAATGAGCTTCTCCCCACGAAGAATCAAGAGTTCATCTCTGTTAGCATTAAAGCTAAGACCTAAAATATCGTCAACAAAACACACACGTGCTGTACGGCCTTTAAAAACTCCCATTTTTGTCTTTGTTTTTACATTTCACAACCATACAATGTATTCTGTATCATGTTGTACTCTAATCATATTCTGGTCTGTTTACAAATCTAATACAAAGGGTCCTTGGTTTACAAGTCTTGTACCATCATATCAACTAACCGTGCTAAAACTAGTTCCTGTTCAAAACTAGTTAACGAGTGGATCTGAAGATTACATCATCACACGGCGCTACATGCAGGAATTATGTTTTTCTAATTTGCTGGTTGTATTCCATACATTGGATTGTGTAAAAAAAAGAAAAAAAGGTTAGCATCTATGCTAACGTGTGTATTTCCTGTGACATCAAAAGGACTAAGTGGATTATTTTTTTCTATCAAAACATTTAAACTAACTAAGAACTAAAGTATTGTAGATACATTTTGAAATAATAATAATAATAATAATAATATATACGTTTGTATATGTACATAAAAAGTACTTAGCTACATGTGTACAGAATTATTTTTTAATATGTGGCTTGGTAATGAAGAAAAATGAAAGGAAAGACCTTATGTATTTATTCCTACAACATGGATTTTATCCAACCTTATTATTTATTTCCATTTTTTTTCTCAGTCTAATAAAATATATATATATATTTTTGTCCAGGATGATGAGATTCGAAGCAACGCTGCTCAGTACCTGCCTCAAATCAGCGAGCTGTTGAATCGAGTGCCTCGTCAGATGCTGCTGCTGTTGAAGACCAACGACCTGCTGAGAGGCATCGAGACCACTTTAGGAACCAGAGCTTCATCCTCGTCTTTCATCAACATGTCCCGCTGCTGCATAAGTGCGCTGGCCAGGTGAGAATGGACGCAGCTTAGATCATGTCTCAAAGGCTGCAGTTGTCCCTGAGCGTAATTGTTGACTCTTGACTTACTAACTAGAACTTTTTCATCCCTTTTTTTTAGGAAATTCATTTAAGTGTTTTAATAATGTTGTGATAAAAGAAATATAAACTAAATATAATATTTTAACATCACAAGATAGGCAACAACTATTTCACTCTCCTGGTTTTGTTGAGACAAAAAATGCTACGTATGCGTGACAGGTTAACGATAACACTGACTCTACCATATACACGTGACCATTTTGGACATTTGTGTTCAGGTCCATTATGTGTTACTATTACTATTGCAGCTAATTTTTGTAAAAAAAAAAAAGCATTTGGTAAATGTTGGCTTTTGTAGCATAAAGCTAGCACACGTGGTAACATCAATGTATACAAATTAAGTTTCCAAAGACATGTATGAACATTATGTTCAAAATTCTGCATTTTAACAGTATGAACAGTTTGCATTTTTAGATGTAACAATAAACACTATAACACTATATAATAAACAATAAATAAACAATACATATACAAGAATAAATTCACCTATTTATGGGAATAAGCTCTTATAAACGTGAGGAACGTTTTTCTACATTTGTGATGGTGATGCTAATGGTGATGTGGTGTTGATGAAGTATCTCTTTATTTGTCAACCCAATTCTAAACTAGTACAACTTCTCAAGATTCTCCACGTTCCTCATTCTGACGCTCTTATCTCCCCCAAATCACACTAAACGTATGACTTTAATCTGGTAAATTGACCCCATTATTCTCATGAAGTTAAGACTTTATTCTCATTCATTAAAAAAAACAAAACAACTTTTTTCTCATAACTTGTAGTTAAGATGGTAAATAGATATTGACCTGTAGGTGTCACTTCAGCTTTGGGACACAGTGAATGAGTTTGTCCAGTGACAGCAGGAAGGTCTCCCGTATTAATAATGTATGTACTAGTGTGTCTAAGTAATGTAATACAGTAGGGAAGGATCCTGTTGTCACACCTCTGTGGGACAAACACTGACTTTTCTTTTTCTATTCTACATGGTCACATGACCTCCATCCTCAGTGTGAACTAGGGATGTCTCCCAACCACCTGCTCTGATACTGATACTGCAACTTGGATTATCTGTCGATACCCATATTCCCCTCAGGGGTGACAAACACGGCTCGTTGGCCAAAACCGGCCCGCTAGAGGGGCTCAATCCGGCCCACTTGATGAATTTTGAAAATGAAAATGAAAATGTTATTTCTTTAATTATGAATATTTTCTAATATACTTGTACTTAGTGGCGCTTTGGCCCAGAGGCAATGTCTCTGTCATTGGTGTGGAACCCCAGGGTTCACCTCCTGGGCAAGTTCGAATCCCGGTTAGGGCGGTTGGTACCTTCCAGTGGACTCACCACCCGCAGGAAGGTTTGGTATGGTGCAATGTGATTTGGGTGGCGACTGCTGCCCCCGCGACCCGGTAACGGATAAGCGGATGAAAATGGATGGATGGATGGATGGATACTTGTACTTAATGAGTTTGACACCCCTGCCTTAGGTGGTTATGTACCGTATGTGGTTTCCGACACACGGCAAAAGACATTTTAGAGAGTGATCACCCAGAACAACTGGTATTTCATATTTGGGGATGAACTGACAAGCATGTGTGTATGAAACTCCTGACGCCTGAAACATGTTCCAAACTGAATCTGATCTCTTCCTGTTTGTGGTGCTGCTCCGACCCACAGGGCCAGGAGAGGAAAGGCTGAGTCCAGGATGAAGCGTCTGCAGATAAGGCTGACAGAAGCTTTCAGCCTGTGGACGCTCTGTCTGTATGAACTGTTTCTGCGAGTGAAGGGCTCCGTGTCGCTGCACTGGCTCACAGCTCTGCTGCCGTTCTCGCACTGAGACACACGTCAGCTGGACACACGGACAATGGGCCACGACCGATTTGCAATATTATCATGCATGTGAAACGTCCTCGCACCTTGTCTCTTTTATCAACGGTATGTCACAGCAACTGAATAACAATGAATGGAAAAACAAGATGGCGATGGCTTCCAGGATTACAGCTAACCACAGGGTCAACAAATGTGCATCTTTTTTATTTGTGCTTGAGACCAAAATCTACAATTTCAGACAACCTTGAACTTCACATCCACAGACACTGGTTATCAACAGTAGAAATAGTTCCAACGACACAGTCTGCAGTGTGGTCAACTGGCCACTTCCTGACGCCCGCTCATAGGCTTTATTCAGAAATACATATATGTAAATACATACATGTAGTCCAGCTGTGTGAGTCACAGGGACCTGGAGTCATACGGCACAAAAAGATGACGAGAAGATAATGTTCAGGATTTAAGCAAGAAGTCGTTTCCAGACTTTAATCATGACAGACATACTGTGTTATGATGCAGCTGCTGAAGTTACACCATGGAAGAGTATCTGCTAGTCCAGGCATGGGCAAACTAAGGCCCGGGGGCCGGATGTGGCACGTTCAGCTTTTTAATCCGGCCCACTAAACTTTTTCAAATTATATAATTTATTTATATTATCATTATACTTCTGCCTTTTCCCTGCAATACCCATGTTTCCCCAATAGATGTCATAGAAAATGATAAAAGCATTTTAGCATTTTTGCATGACTTTTACATGTCATTTATCTTAGTTCACACGAACGCTCCATCTATCTGCTCCTGACCCAGACCCTGTTCAATTTATGACAATTGTGGCCCTCGAGTCAAAAAGTTTGCCTTCGCCTGTGCCTGTCCGATGTTTGACCATTTAACTTACACATTCATTACATTTTATGTTCAGATGGCCATGTCACGTTGTCAAAGGTTAGAAGCTTCTTTACTTAAGGCTTTTTTAAAACGGTGTCATTTCTTATTTCGTTATCTTATAGATCGATATTTTCTGCTCCTGAGATTTATTTTTTTATGTGCAACAAAGATCTCATAAGCCACTTGAACCTGATGATCCAGTCTGTAGCTTCCAGAACATTACAGCTGTATCAGACAAATATCTAATACACTATTGGTAGAGTCAGTCTTACACGTGACTACATCAAAGGAAGAATCACCAAAAGGAATAGAACTCGTTCCTCTGTTTTACACAGTCAAAAAGTTCTAAGATTTACAAGTGTCTCAAACATGTTGTTGCTGCAGCTTTGAATAGTTTTATCATTGTATTACTGTGTTTTAAAATCAGAGCAAATATTTTAACCGAACTTTAATGGAGGCTATCTGTATCTAAAATCAGGAATCCTGTTGAATGGAAAATCTACGTGCAGAGAAATATTTGGTTATTGCCACTGTAGACACAGTCATGTGTAGGTGACATGTTTTCTTTCACCTGCAGACGCTGGACCACACATGAAACTCGTTACCTCAACAAGAAACAACTTGAATGTTTGCGATGACCTGCATCGTTTCGTGGTGTAGGAATACCCTCAAGCGTTAATGTGTTTTTATTTATTACCATTCGTTCATTTTTACTTTTTCAATCTTACTGTTTTGGATTAAAACGCTGTTTTTTCAATGTAATAAAGGTCACTCAGTTGTATTATGTTCGTCCTCAGTTTAATCTACTCAGTCCAAGCAGACAGGCAGAAGAACTAAATGCTTTTTTCTGTGTTTCTTTCTTCAATTCCTGCCAGTGTATCAGCAGTGTTCCACTTAACAGGCCAAGGTTCCACAGTGAGTAAGTAAATTGTGAGTACATTGACACTACAAGAAAAATATATTTATTAAATGTACTTTTTGGGACTTTTTGTCTGGTGGAGCACCGTGGGATTTTTCTGGTGTAAATATGGTTCTGGGTCAAGAGGTGATTACGTTTGTTCAACTTTTCTGCTGGATTAGTAGCAAACAAATGTTGGACAAATGTTAACACATGTTATTATGATGCTTTTATCTGGACAAGCGTTTACTATGTACTTGTAGTTAGTGCAGTATTTTGTATTTATATACCTAATACAGCCAGTATAGTTTACTTCTCTCTTTGTTTTGAAGAAAAGTTCACCACAGGTGATATAGTGCCTTTTTAGTCCCGACAATGACGTGACTTCTCACTGTGTCAGCTCTTGAAGACTTGTGTTTATAACACAGCCCCTGAACCCGTTGTCATGGTAACATCACTATAGATGTCACAGGAGATGACAGGGTGAAGTTCGAGAAAACGGTGTATAAGTGTTGGTCGTCTGTAGGTCATAAAAGGAAAAAGTCACAACAAAGTCAAACACTCGAGCTGCAGAGTAATATTTGAAGAAGTGTCCGACTCTGTCAGGGAACCACCATCTGGACATCGGCCAAACTGAAAGGTCTACGTTTGAATTTTCTAACTTGGGAGCCATAATGAAGGGCAAAAAGAACAACACTAATGAAAGAAAGCAAACGTAGTATAATCTAACGTCTGAGTACAACGGGCGAATGTAAACATTGCCATCTTCAGCATATATTGCGCATTGCGACATATTCAATCAGAATGATGGAACAAAACTTTCTTAACAAATGTATGGGAGATGATGACGTAACCACGAAACACCGTAGATCGAGGACTTTGTAAACTGAGGACCTCCTGTACTGTATATTTATTTTGTAGCACATTTTATTCATTGAGATCTCACACAACTAAATGAAAAGTGACTTACGGTCTGATACGTTCAAAACAAACATTTTATTTTCCATCAAATGTCAAAACAGCCATATACTGTTAATATACTTTGTTCTGACAGTATTTATCAGCGCGTCTGTGTAAACGTTTTCTCTGTCACCACATCATCTTGTGTCTTTATTCTTCCTCTCTCTATATTTGGTTCCTTTTTTGTGTAGCAAAGAACATGACTGTTATCAAAGTACTGGGACACTTCTAAAACGTGAATTCAATCTGTGTGCGTCATTTACTTCATTTGTGCTTTTGCTGCTGACGTGGACAGTGAGTCACAGGCTGCTGAGGTGCCTCTCCACCAAGAAAACTACACGTCTGCTGTTGTTAACAGCAGTCAGTCTTTAAAGCAGCAGGCAGGATCACGACACAGTTATATTATTTAAGCTGCAGATCCATTGGCTGTTGAGAAGAAAATGATGAGTCCGCCTCAAAACGCCTGGTTGACTTTTTAAAGAGCAATTACTTTTATGGGTAACGTTTTTTTTTTCCACGTCATCTTAAAAACCGGTGCGTTGTTAAAGACACATCCATTGTTTTATTTTACAGACAAATACACAATTATTCCAGCAAAAGAAAAACATAAAAAATAACTAACATCATTAAAAACATATTGTTATGTTAGCCTACTACAGTACTTCTCAAATAGTGGGGCGGGCCCCCCTGGAGGGGCGCAGTGAGGGGCTTCCAATGGAAATATGGCACGCTGGTCCTGGACATAAGTGTACCACTGCTGTAACGCTTGAATGATAACAAGCCTCCAGTCACTAGGTGGCAGCAACTCATACAGTGGTTTGTACAGATAAAAACATACATGTTATCAGGCTCTTAATTGTTTCATTTGTGGGGGTGTGGGTCGGGGGGACATGAAAACATTTCTGTTCCTAAGGGAGGGGGTGACAGAATATAATAGAGAACCACTGACTGACTACAGACCAAACACTTGGTGTCAGGAAGATCATTAAGTTAAAGAGTAACATAAATATTTTAGATGTACTTCCAATAATTAGACCCCTCAGGGAGGACCAGCCCCCTACTTTGGGAACCACTGTTTTTTGGGTTTAGGGTGTCACTTTAAAAGCATATGTGTGTGTGTGTGTTTGTATGTGTATATATACAGTATATACAGTATAAAGTATATGTAAATACAATAATTAATCTTTTTGCGTTTATATATATATATATATACATATATATATATATATATATGAGAAACTTGTCTCACTACCCATGGTGAGACAGCTGGAGCCGCGGCGGCGTCACTTTGCCTTGATCATCCAGCCAAAGGTAAAGTGAGTGACGACAGAATTCACAGGGAAAGTGACAGAATGGGCCCAGAAAAGAGAAAGAGATGTCAGATCTGAGTTGGCTCCGGCTTTGGGGAATGCAGTCAATGTGTCACTGTCAGAAACAGGAAGTGTGTCACAGTGAAACAGACATAAATAAAGAAACGCCGGTCTGTATTTCTAAACTTGTCCAGAAAGACTATTTTAAATGTTAAAAACTGTAAGAGTCGAAGCAGGTTGTGCTGTACGGCTACATACGTTTATTCAGTACCTGGACATATACATAATATAGTATATAATGAGTATATGTTCTGTTTATAAGACTAAAATATATATTTGTGCTCATTAGACCCCAAACACAGAGATATACACAGATATTTTATTTTATTTTACACAGCCAAAAGACCAACATGTCTCTGTGTGACTCTGGGTTGAACTGTATATGTCAAACACCCAGCCCCCTGTAACTCACTGCAGCTGATTATTATCATCAGACTTCCATCTACCGCACTTACAGTTGTGCTGTGAAATTATAGCTTGTGTAGTGTACAGCACTTCTTTTACATACTGCCAGAGTCAGGCTGAGAGCACACACCCCCTGCTGGCTGCATGGTCCAAGGTCAATATAAAAGAGGTACACGTTTGGTGACAAAGACACCAGGAAACAATCTACAGACAAATTCAAGGTGAGGTGAGCAAAGCTGGGGTTTATTTTATGGTTCGCTACTGGTTTCTCATGTTACTGTTTTTGTCCAAGCCAGTCTTAGGACTAATGATGGTTCTCATTTATAAAATGACCTGTAATATTAATACTTTTGGAAATGAAAGAAAGCTTCTTTTTTTTAACCAAACACAGTTTCCAAAATCTGTTGGAATTCTTGAGGAATGTGACCGGCTTTGATCGAGTTCTGATCTCACCTTTTTCTTTTCCTCAGACTTTTCAGAGGAACTGCGTTTCATTCTGTAGATGAGGCGAGGAAACGGATCGTGAGCAGCTGTTAAAGACGTCATGTGGAATTCCACTAGGAAGGAATTCTCTGGTCGAAACACCACTGAAGAAGAGTTCAGACTGAAAGGTAGAATATGTTGGAAATGTTTTTTTATGTATCAATTTTGAGTTGCCTTTCATTTATATCAATACATACAGTATCCAGTATATATACATACATAAATATATATAAATAATGTTTGGTTATATGAAATATATAATTATATAAAAATATTATTAATTGTAAACATAATATAAAATGTACACTTGTATATATATACTGTATATATATGTAATATATATACAGTATATACATATATACATATGTACATATATAAAATAATAACATATGTATGTGTAATGCATGCATACAGTTACATATAGTTATGTACATGTTTATATATATTTTATACATACAATATATACAGTATCCCATTATACATATACTATTTATATACATATACAGTTAACTTACGAATACTGAATAATCACATGGTTATTAATCCAGATATATTCCTTAATATGACAAAAACCTTTTTATATATATATTGAACAGACAAACTAGATCGATGTTATTATTTGTGACCAATCCAAATGATGGAATTATTAATGTTGAAAAATAGGCAGATGTCTAATCC